AATAATATTGTGTGGCACTGTGGCTTTAATGTGATCTTTTTGTAGGCCCTAACCTAAGCACACATCTTCCTGTCCCACCTGAGAAAGTCACAGCAAGTTACAGCAAGGTCAGAGCATTAACTGCAGCACCTAATGCAACTAGTGAGTGTTGAGTTGATTTAGTGACACTGGTGTTACGTACTGTAATGTGAGATTAATGGTAAAACTATCTATTATTCCAGAAAGGACTCTAGATCCATGTGTTAAGGATTATCTGCACCAAGACCGAAGTGTACCTGCCCCTTTAAGTTCAGGTATATGTACAGTAATAGCATGTGACAAAGGAGAATGATGTACTGTTACACTGAATTGGTGGTGATGAGGTGGGTGTGTGTGTGTGTGTGTGTGTGTGTGTGTGTGTGTGTGTGTGTGTGTGTGTGTGTGTATTTGTTTTAAACTTTCATGTTTCCTAAAGAGAAGGCATCTATTCATGACCAGGAAGATTCTGAGCAGGTGTGCTCATCAGTCCCAAAGCATATATGTGCCTCCAGTCGGTCTTCAGTTCATGGTACGAGTTATTTATTTAGTTGATTTACGTGTTTTCTTTTCACACTAATTGTCCCATTGGAATTACAATGTTCTATCTGACATTTTTGTCAAAATTGAGTAACTCATGTACTCTAATTCTGTGACACTTTCTTAAAATTATGTGAGGTGGTTTTGTATGTAAGTTGTTGGCGGTTTTGGACTCTTTATCCAGGAAAAAAAAGTTCTATATCCAAAATCAAACTCTAACTTGGTTCTATAAGGTTCTATCTGCATGCCAGTCAGCACTGTCAATACACACAAGAGGACCAGTCAGATTCTGCTTCTTTGTCATGTCGCTGCACTGGTCAGTGACTGTGGGAAATGTTTATAAAACTTTAAAACATGTTGCTGAAACACTGCCTGTCTTCTTGTAGTTTTACTGTCTTACATTGTATAAATATTACACCTTAATGTTAATAAAATAGTAAACATTTGCATTGATGGAGTTGTAACTACAACATAAACAATTTCATTTGTTCATCCATCTTTTCTTTTTCCTTTTTTCCCAAAATAAGATATTTTGGTGCATTAGAGTCAACATTTCTGATACAGAACAAAAAACCCATACTATGTTAAAACTGATCTGCTGCACTCACTTGTTGGGAGGGTTTATTACAGTAGCTGTTTGCTGTCTGACTTAAAGGAAACTTAATGTTTCCTACCGAAAACTGACCTCTGCACTGGACACAATATTTAGCACTGAAATTTATTCTTATCTGCAATGCTCTTTTGAATAAGAAAAAGATGATTTGTTCTAAAGCAAGAAATAAATGTCATAATAAATAAATAATACAAATAAATCTCATGTCATCCATCCATCCATCCATCATCTAAACCGCTTATCCTTCTGGGTCGCGGTATCTCATGTCATAGAAAGCATTAAATTTAACTTTCTGAAATTTTATGTTTTAAAACAAATGAGTAAACTGTTTGTGTTAATCATAGCACCTTATAATTCCAAGCAGAAATTGAGTTGTTAGGATTAGGATTACAATTTTGACATATGGATCAAATTTAGAGTGTCTGTGGTTTTCATGTATGAAAGAGATGTGTTCCTCATATCAGTTTTGCTATTTGGAATGCAAAATCTTTGAAGCTCAATAACAAATCTGCTCAGAACACGGATGGAACCTTATAATTTCAAAGGGTTATTATAGCATTTGGTATACAAACCCTTAACCTTGATTCTACCTATGCTGTAGGAAGTGTGTCACATGAGGCTTCAGAATCCCCTCAACCTGGGCCCTTTCCAATGTCTACAGCAAGTATGTTGGTTACTCTTGATAACTGAATACATACACCCATCAGCCACTTCACTAAGTACTTGTTTCCACACTCGTCAATTTAATCTGCTGTACTTATCATATAGGTGCACTTTGTAGTTCTACAGTTACAGACTGTAGTCCATCTGTTTCTCTGATACTTTGTTAGCCCCCTTTGCCCTGTTGTTCAGTGGTCAGGACCCTCACAGAGCAGGTACTATTTGGGTGGTGGATCATTCACAGCATTACAGTGATACTGACTTGGTAGTTCTGTGTTTGCGCTGGTGCAAGTGGATCAGGAGTTTTTAAACACATCAGTGTCGCTGCTGGACTGAGAATACTCCACCAACCAACAGTAGCTAATGTAATTGTTTTACTTTTGCAAAAGGAAACATATATTTTACTATGCATGTTTTTCTCCCACCCACATTTAGCCCAAAGTTTTTCATGGTATTCCCCATACATTATAATTTATGAGATGATGTCTGGCCTTGCTTATGTGTCCATTTTGCTTTAAAGGATTCCAAAAGTGTGTCCTTGGAAAACTGGTGGAAATACTAGAGGAGGTGAGGCGTGTGGGCAGGAGATTTGAACCTGAGGACTCTGATTTCCATATACACAGAATGGACACAGAAGAGGAATTTGATGTCCTGGAGAGAGAGCTTAAAACTCCAGAGTCACGCCAGCTTATGGTAAGATTAACAGTTAAGTTTAGTTTAGTAAATGAGTATTTTGGTTGTGATTGTGTAAGTATCAAGGTGAAGTGTTCTTTTTGTGCAAACTACAACAGCTAGACACATTTAGAGCTTTTCATCTTTTAAACATAACCATGCTAGTTTGTCTTAAGTATTTCCTGTTCTTACCCTCAGATTGCTCAGTTATCAAAAGTTGGAGGTAAAAACACAAAAGACTGCACCAATCGAATCTTGGATAGGTAATTTTATTCTTAATTTTTCATATGCTACTGTTGTGATCATAATCTTTTCATGATTTACTATACTCACTAATGTATAGATGATTTTTAGATGTTGATGCTCTGTAGATCTGATTAACATTTGATGTCGTCTTAGACTCTTCACAAATGGCCTGATGACAAAATTTAATATGAAGGGAAGAGGGATTGGCTCAAAAAGGGCATTTGAAAGCACCAAACTCTACTCGGTTGTGCAAGGTATTTGCTTACTTTTCAAATTTTTTTAACCCCTTCAGATCCCGTGTGCATTACAATGGACATTATGTGTTTGCTTCTTGTCATGTCAATCAGAAAGGATGTTTAACAGCCCATCAGCAGCAGACCCTCCCATTGCAAATAAATGTAGAACTTTGAAACTATGAATGGGCATTATTAGTCGAATTTGTAAGGCATTTAAAAAAAAAGTCAAATAATAATACTGGAGCTTGATGTTTATCTGAGCTTTTCTGTGACACTTCCTATGTTATACAGCTGCATTGTGTACTATCTACTACCCAGTTCCTTTTTGGACAGATAAACTCTTACCAAAATAAAATAGATAGGCTTTTCAGTTCTCTGCGGTCTAGATTAGTCTTTTTGTCATGAGGGCGCTCACACTAGACAACAAGGCAAAGAGAGATTAACACACAAGTTTCAGCTACAAATAAGAACTGAATCTCAAAGATCGCATGACACAAATAAAGCTAAATTTACTGGACCGGAGCTGTTGGTGCTTGATCTGCATCATCAGTTGCTTCTGATCGAGGTCCTAAAAGCCATCAAAAGCCTTCTGGGATTGTGATCACTGATTAATAAGTAGATGACCTTCCAGACATCTGTCTGTTTTTGTCAAAAGATTTTAATACATTGTGTGCATTAATTGAAAGTGTTGTCTGTATTTTATATTAGCTGCAGTTCTGAAGTGGAACGACAAAGCCACAGCTCATGAAATGGATGCTGCCGTGGCCGATCACCTCAAGCATGCCCCTGGTAGATCTGGGGGAGGTGGTTACAAAAAGAAGGAGTGAAACTGAAAATGTCACATACCAGGAACTTTTCACTTATGTATGTTTGTTATTTGACTTCTCAAAACCAAAATTAACGTGATTGTCGTATTAAATAATTACCTTTATTTTCTTCATGTTAGAACATTGAAAATCATATATACTGAGGAAGTTCATTGTTTCAAGTTGTTTCAAAAATGAAATTTGTTGTGAATTGAGGCATGGTACATGATCTTTTGTTGGCATTGCCATACATAGTACTGACCAAGATCATGGTTCAGTTTAATGTTCCACAAATTAAATGAACAAATATTTTCAATAAACTTGCCATTTAACAATTTGTTTTATCTTATGTTTATGTTGGGATCAAACTGTTAACTACATGAAGAGTCTTTGCATGGTGAAATGGTTCTTCAGATAGATGGAGAATATATGTTTTTGTATAGAAAAGTTGATTCTATATAGCACGAAAAAGGTTCTTCTATTGTTAGTGTATTAAGCATGAAATGATTCCATATAGAACTGATGGTTTAGATAGAACCGTTCTGTTTCTTTTTTTGAGAGTGTACTAATGGACTTTAGTTAAATTTTGAACAACTTTTCAGTGCCTTTTAACCCAAAACTGTCTGTTAGGTGACTATTTCAATTTATTTAAACATTTTCCAATGCCTTAAAATACCTTAAAATGATGTCTTTAATGGGACTAGTGGCAAATAATTTTGGATTACTTTTCAATGCCTTTTAACCCAGACACTATGTCTGCTAGGTGACTCTGGTAGTATATTTTAATTTATTTAATTTATTTCTACTTTTTTCCAAGGCTTTAAAACACCTAAAAATGACGTTTTTACTGTGACTTTTTGGGTCGTTTTTTCAACAGCTAAGCTTGGTCGTCTTTTCAACTTTCATTTTCAACCTTAACAAAACGTAAATTAAACAGCAGGTATGTACGTGATTTCAACGTTAACTCAATGGCCTTAAAATGACGTCTTTAATGGGACTATTTTGGTCGTTTTTTCAACAGCTAGGTTTAGACGTCTTTTCAACTTTCATTTTGAACCTTAATAAAGCGTAGTTTAAACGGCAGTCAGATACGTGATTTCAGCGTTGTTTCAACGGCCAAATGTTTACTGGGTTAGCTTTTTTATCAGCTCCACTCTAGTTCAGACCAATTAAAACACGACGTGGGAGGAGTTGGATCAGATCCAGCCGCACCCACTGGACTTTCGGTTCCGCAGCGAGGACCATCTCGCGCTCGAGCCATTCTGCGTGCGTTTCAGTGGCACGTGACTACAGCCGAGTTGTAGTTTTTATATCTATATACATACACAACAAAATCATTCAGGGTGGTTTGAAGTGAAATAGAGAAACTTAATGGAACTGATAGGAACCAGTCACAACGTCTACAATTGCGAATACACCCATTTTATTTACTATTACAATGACCAGTAAAACCTACACGTGTCTTCTGAGTTTCTTATTATTAAAAATCTCCTGTGTTCCCTGTGAACATATGCAAAATGAATTATGAATACTAAAAATAAGTAGCAAAAACTTTAAAGTTGGCACTAAAAATGTTCATTATTAATATGTAGTAGATTGATAAAGTGATAATATTAATAAGGTCACATAGTTTGTATGAATATTACTATATTAACAATTACTAATTAATGTAATTACAAACATTTAAAATAGCACTGATAAATACGGTATACAACAATATTTTCTGTTGTGAGATCAGTGAGGATATCAATGAAACAAAAAAAAGATCATAAATTAAAATATTTTTTTATAAACAAGCTTACCATATAATGTTAAAGGAAGAATGACAAAGGCACAAACACAGCTGTTGATGTTATTGACAATCATATACTTTAACAATTTCTCTTGCATATTTTATTTACAAGGACATACATGAAATACATTGGGACAATACAAGAAGCAGGCCTTTCTGAAGGCAGAAGCTCCTGGCAACTCCTCTCTGACAGAGGAAGACCAAAGTCTGGACAGACCTTCTGTGAGTAACAGGGCTGACAATAGTAGCTCTCCTCATCCACACGCTTATGTGCATCAGGATATAAAAGGCAAAAACAGATCTTAGATTAGCGGTACTGACATGTTCTGATCAGAATCTGACTTGTGGTGCACAGTACTGAGGAATGGAAAGAAAAACTTGCTGTTGTTGGACCTCTGGACCTCTGTTGGGGCAAATTGTAAGTTAAAAAAAGAAAACAACACCTCTGATCAGATAAATATCAAATAAATGCTGTAATTAAAATAAAGCAGCTGATAAGGTTGGCTGGTAGTAGTCTTAACACATGCTCTTTGCAGAAGCAGTAGAAACACTGTTTTAGTTAAAGGGGAATTACACCGATTTTTGAAAATATTCTCCATAAATCAGTGGTTGTAAACAAGTCATTCAGAGTGGTTTGATGTGAAATGGTTCATTATAGAGAAACATACTGACTCAGATTTCTTCACAGTGGTGGTGATAGGAACCAGGGGTCACAAAGCCTACAACTCAAATGTAGCCATTTAATTTACTTTCTAAAATGACCAGTAAACTTACATGTCTTCTGAATTTTCATACGCAATGCTGATAATGGTCAAATGGTAGCGTTTTCTTTGAGTGGTATTTTGTCTTATACATTTTAGTCCAAACCTTAAAGCTCTTAAATTTTGAAACAATGTCTCTGGCATCATGAAACATTTGTAACCTGTATTCATGCAATATGTTTCTTTTTGAGGGAGCTTTCAGATACATTAAACACTTGGGATGTCTCGTTCCTATCACCACCACTGTGAACTATTCTGACTTGGTATGTTTCTCTAAAACAGTGCATTTCACATCAAACCACTCTGACTGACATTGTTTACATCTTAACCATTTCTTAACCATTTAGTTTAGCAAAGTTGGTGGAGTTCCCCTTTAACCCATCTCCTGAAAGTGGGTGAGTCAGTGCACATGCACAGGTTCATGATCATTTGTTGTTTAAGCTATAACCTGTGATCCTTATATCCCACATAAAAGCAAAGACACTCATGAGTATGAGGAAATTTATCCATCACTTTTTTTATCAGTTATATCATCTATAGACACTGTCATAAAAAGGAACCTTGGGTGAATTGATAGCTCATTTGTTTTAAGAGGCATGGTGACCTCCAGTGGCCAATCCTGGGATTGCAGTCTTTACCAACTGAGGTTGATCAGCGTCACTTTCAGCAGAGTGTGGCCTGACCTCTCGGATCACTTGAATGACTTTTTTACATAATCTACCACAGTGACACATTCAAAAAGACTCAGTCAGTATCAGTGACAAGGTTGCATTTCTTTCTCTCATATTATTATTCACCATCATAGACAATGCCTTTTTTTAGCATTCCAGATCGTTTTGTCTTAATGTGTTCTTGTGAGTAACTATTCTGTCCAGTCTGTTTAAAATCTTACAGGCCATGCACTGTAAAAAGTATGACTGGGATTATTTAATATATAGTAAATAACTAATAGTAACCGTTACATAATAAAATAGACTATGTGCTGTTTGAAATCAAACTGAGCCGAATTCAACAAATTTGAATGATCTATTAATTGCATTTTACACCGTTTTGGTTAAATAAAATTAGCTGTGGTACATTGAGTGGAATTTATTTATATTTTATCAGGAACGACAAAGATGCAGAATATATATAATTTTTACTCATTGGGAGGCCTTTGGTTTTAATCACCCCACACTTCCGCCCAACACATTTTGCTGGACACCAGTCCAGTCACACGTTATGTTAGGTTAGGGCCATAGATATACATACCTATGCGACGTTGGGTCCAGGCAGGCACGTTAACGGCGCCGCCATTTTGGGACGGTCAACATCGCTGCTGGACTGCATTCAGTACCATTACAGAGCAGCAGATTAAGAAAGATACTCTCCAAAATTATACGATTTCAAGAAAATTGCACTCAGAAAACAGGATAGGATTATATAACAGAGGGAACGCAGTGATTCACGCTCATGTTTGTGTGATGCGTATTGTTTGTGTCATGTTTATGTGTAGATATGGCTGTGTGGTTGGTGAGGCATAAAGAACCTGTTGATGTGATTGTTTTTCCTCTGGTTTTATATTAAGCTTATTTTATATAGTCTATTCAGGGGATATTAACTTGATGTAATAGTTATTTATTTACAATGATGGTTAATGCTTTGTAGTTTATAGCAATCCTTAATCTGTTTAGATATTCATAATAGATTAATGTTGGCATCTTCTTACATGAACCTTAAGTTATTTGCCAGCTTGTTCGAATTTTCCCGTTCCACTTTAAATGGTGCATCAGCCAGCTTCTTGTTCGAATGTTACCGTTCCACCTTAAATGTTGCAGCTTCAGGCACCAGAAAGTGACTGCTGCATCATTTAAGGTGGAACGGGAACATTCGAACAAGAAGCTGGCGAATTGGAAGCCAACTTTTGCTTCGTCGTTCTTTTGGGGGTTTATTTTATTTTTTTGTGTATTTACATCGGAAGTGATTCACACATTGATGGATTTGCTGATTGTTAGATTGAGTTACAACTCGCACTAAACTCGGTTTTTAACATCAGGTGCAGACAATCATTTCCTGCTGGTCCGGACGGCTAATTAGCACGATCAGTTATTAAAGAAAGAAAAGCTACCGAGAGCAGTCCGTACAACATAGATTAATCTGTGTCTGAGGATTATAACAAAACAAATTTGGTGAAAGTTGGTTGAGTAATAAGGAAGTTGTGGCCGATTTAATCCTGAGACTCATCACCTCTCAATACAAGTGAATTTGTTCACAAGTGGATCTTGAACACTCCAACATGGCAGACACGCAGACGTATCGCCTCAGATAGAGAACAACGGACAATGCAGCATCTAGGTATGTATATCTATGGTTAGGGCCCTAAAGCAGAGGGGAGAAGTTTATTTATTTATTTATTTATTTTTGGAAGACGACAAAATTGCATGTTATAGTGAACTCAATATCATCCAAAACAACCACAACAAATGTGTGTAAAATGTTGACATTTCTTATGTATAATACAGCTAAAACAGCCTGGGGTCCAAATGGCCCCAAAGAACACCTATGCGTATAAAATGTGTACAGGACTTTTAAAACATGTCATCATATTAATTTTATGTTTATCCAGTTGTCCCTGTTAAGCTAAGAAAAGTTATTAAATATGAAGCAAAATAAAAATCATGTCAGTCATTTTTTTAGGGACATTGAGCATTGATCCTGCCTTCCGCCCAATGGCTGCTGAGACAGGCTCCAGCATTCCCTGCGACCCAGAAGAATAAGCGGTTTAGAAAATGTGTGTGTGTTAAACAGTGAATGGGGTCAAATTGACCTCAGAAATAATAGGAGGATTAAGTCCATTTTAGATGGTACATTTTTCAAGCAAAATGACTTCTATGCTGGAGATAAAACGACAAAAGATTTTTTTCCATTTTCTTCACTAAGGAGCCCTTGAGGAACCATTTTTTTTAGAAAGTCTATACACCAATAATCTATAACATTAAAACCACCTCTATCTACACTCTTTGTCCACTTTATCAGCCCCACTGACCATATAGGCGTACTTTATAGTTCTACAATTACACACTGTAGTCCATCTGTTTCTCTGCATAGTTTGTTAACCTCCTTTTACCCTGTTCTTCAATGGTCAGGACCTCCACAAGACCACCACAGAGCAGGTATTATTTTGTTGGTAGGCTGTTCTCAGTCTAGCAGTGACACGGGTGTTTGAAAATTCCAGCAGCACTGCTGTGCCTGCTCTGTGAGGGTCCTAACCATTAAACAACAGGGTGAAAGGGGGCTAACAAAGAGAAACAGAGAAACAGATGGACTTCAGTCTGTAACTGTGGAGCTACAAAGTGCTCCTACATGGTCAGTGGAATTGATTAAATGCTTAAAGAGCATAGATATAAGATGATAAAAGAGATGGTTTTAATTAATTGGCTGGTCGGTGTATTTCTCCCAGTAATTCTTGGCAAGCGACTGAAGTTTTTTTTTTTTTTTGTGTGTAAGTGTGTTGGGGGTGTGAAAGTTATGACTGATTGAGGGGAGAGGCTTCATGTTTTTGTATTTGATATTGGCACAGACAACTGTTTGTATACCTTATGATTGCACTGTGTAAACCAGGGATGCAAATTTGTCATTGAATTTAATGTGCCTCCAGATTTAGCAGGCAGGGACATGGAAGAACTCGGAAGATTGGAAGATTTTAGTTTCTCCTTTTATCTGTTTGAA